TTATTGAAAAATTATTTTAGCATTATTATTCTTATTTTTAATTTAAAACTTATTTATTTGCATTCATTAGTTTTCTTTTTGTTATTATTTAGAACTCTATATCACCACAAACGAGCGTTATGCAGTTAGTTGCGCCAGTTTACAATGTTCTAAGACTTGTTTTAGTGGCTGACTTTTCTCGTTTCTCAAAAATAATAAAGGGGCTCGCATCTGCATAATTGTTGGGCATTTCCAAAGAGCAAGTGATTAGCAGTCTCTAAGTAATAAATTGTATTATAGAAGAGAAAAATATCAATTAATTACACATACAAAATTCTAATACAAATATTGCTTGTTAAGAACTTTTTCAATGCGACAGTCATTCAGTTGACATTCGCTGGACAACTTTATTAAAGCCCCAAGCTAACTTACAAGCCACACAGTAGTCCATTGCTCTGCGGGGCTTCTGTGAAAAAAACGTCGAGTCGCACAAGTTGTAAAATTTAAACAGAGAAAAAAGGTTAAAAATGACAAACGCCATAAAAAAAAAAAGACTGATCCACGCCGGCGGTCAAGGCACATAAAAAAATAACCAAGTAAGAAAAAAAAAAAAACAAAAATTAATGACTTCCAAGCAAGGCGGCAACAATTTAAACAATACAAAATTACATTATCCACAACACATCAATAAAACATTTTCTTGTTGACTTCGATAGCTGGAGAACTGGAGAGCTTGAGAACTGGAGAATTGAGACCCGCAGAGGCCTCAGGCACCGGCTCAGCCAGCTATCATGGCGAAAAATCGATTGGGTGTGACGCATAAATGATTGCAGTCATTTATTGAAACATTTATTGCGGTGTCCGCAATGAGATTTCCATGTGCAGAAATCTCTAACGCATAATTAAAAGCCGCGAAGTCCGCAGGCCAAACTTGTTTATGAAATCATAGATACATATACCAAAAATACGATACGATACGATACGATATATGAATGCGAATTATAACCGGCTCACTTATCTCTTTTGAATCGGGTGTCTGTGCTTCTTTTATATTGGTTTTTTAATTTTTATTCTGCCAATAAGTCGCAGCTAATTTGTATCTACGTCTCGACGCGAGGGTCGCGACAATTAATAAGCAACGAAATTTCATGGAGCATGAAATTTTGCTGTTAGCTCATTAACAGTTCGGCGAACCAACTTCAAATTTCAAGCATTTTAATATATTCATTCCGACGTGCTTCCATCGACCGAACACATTAGCATAAATTGAAAAACAAACACATAAATCAATATGCAACTAACTAAAGCGTTTGCCTTCAAATAATGAAGAAATAAAAACAATTTCATGGACTAGTTGCAGTTCAATAGACGCCAAGCTGATAACCGACGTGACATGGAAATCTATTGGAAATATTAAGCATCGCCTATAAGGCGGCAATTGTGTAAATAGAGAGCCATAATGAGCCATTCATTGATAATTATAATTGCGGCTACAGGCAAACATTTCAGTTTCATTTACAATTTGAACAAGAAATTGACATAGCTGAGGCTTTGTGTCGGACGACATGAACAGAGCGCTGTATTAGTATTTTATTTATAGATATTTACATAGAGAGGAAAATAGTATATGTAATATATAGGAAGTCAATATATTGAAGTTGCTTATGAATACTTCGTATAGCAATATGATGCTGGGCTTAATATGAATAATAATTAATATTTTATTATTGCAGTTTTATTAAATTTAGTTTTAATTTGATGAACTGTTTTTAATTTGCTTCTTAACAGCTAGTTTGACATAAAATATAAATATTATAAATACATAACAATATTTTATACATCTACAT